GAGGCACCGGGTTTGATCCTCAGCACCACATAAAAATAAACAAACAAAATAAAGATTTTTTTTTTAAAGTTGAAAAAGAATTTTTGGTACTTACTGTGCCCTATTGTTATCCACAGCTTAAAACTTTCACCAGTTAAATTCCAAGCATTGTGTTAAGTATTGGGGATAAAAAATATAAATGTCCCTGCAGTAGAAGTGTTTCCAGCCTGCTCTAAGAACACTCTGAGAACATGGAGGAGGGAAAGGTTAATTTTGATTAGGGCCATGTATTGGAAGCTGGCCCAGAAGAATTCTGACAGATGGAAACACACAGGAAGGGCATGCCATGTGAAGAAAACAGTACGAGCAAGGTAGGAGCAAGGTAGGACAGTGGCTACTGGTCAGATCCCTGAAACAAGAGATAAAGACTCCCAGGGCCTTAGAATTCTTACATTCAATTCAGCAAAAACACAGCATCCCAATCAAGAGCCTTCTGAGAAACAAGGCCAGCCCAGGAGGGTGTTGTTTGTTTGTTTTGGGRGGTACCAGGGATTGAACTCAAACTCAGGGGCACTCGATCACTGAGCCACATCCCCAGCCCTGCTTTGTATTTTATTTAGAGACAGGGTCTCACTGAGTTGCTTAGTGCCTTGCTATTGCTGAGGCTGGCTTTGAATTTGCGATCTTCCTGCCTCAGCCACCTTAGCCATTGGGATTACAGGAGTGGGCCACCATGCCTGTCCAGACCAGGAGGTTTGGGCCACAAAAACCCAATGTGCAACTATCCCACAGCTGCAGGGACTCAAGAGTCTCATGTTGCTTGTAGGTCAATCTGAGCCCTAATGCCCACTCAAGGCCAGCAGCAGCCCACCCTTTCCACCTATACCCCATGCAACTAGCAAGCTCGTGCATCTTCCACTTGAATGTCAAGGAAGAGCTGGTACAAGGGGAAATCTCCAAGGCAAAAGAGAGGAAATGCCCCCTCCCATGCCAATAGCACTGAGGGCTTGCTCATTAGAATTGCTAATAAAATGTGAGGATTGCTCTGGTGGCATTCCTGTCATATGTCAGGCACCATGCTAGACCTTGAGTATACACAAAACTCATTAGCACAACACTGCCATTTAAGTCCCATTTTACAGGCAAAGAAAGCAAGGCTTTAAAAGAAACTTTATGGTTACACCATAGGCCATCGACCCAAGGCTGGCTGACCAGAGAGCTACATTCCCAACCCTATCTTGTATTTTATTKAGAGCAAAAGTCTCACCGAATTGCTTAGCACCTTGCTTTTGCTGAGGCTGGCTTTGAACTCAGGATCCTCCTGCCTCAGCCTCCCGAACCTCTGAAATTACAGGTCTGAGCSACCATGACCAGTGAGTTAGTGCTTTTGATATAATGATACAATGTAATTTCAGCAAGGAAATGAACTGAGAGAAAGCACAGGAGGAAAAGAGCAAGACATGAAACCAAATAAGACCAGCTTTCAGAACCTTCAGTCAGCCTTTCAAGTTCTTTGCATGTCTCCATCCTCTATTTACTTGAGCCCTAACCTAACGGATGGGGGAGGGGGGACTAACACTTTGCAGTCTAGTATAGTGGCCTAGTTTTTTGTCAATATCCAAACCTAAGATGGATTGGCTTCCAGACGGTAATCTCAAAAGCTCGTACTAACCCTGGCTTCCAGGCCAAGAGCTCAGATGCTAAGTCAGCATTAAATATACTTTTGGCCAAGTTCTAATCCCTCTCATATCCCAGGTCTGATAACTGCTTACCGTGCTGTGGTGCCCCAGTAGTCTTTTTAGAATGAAGACATTCACCGTCCTGACTGCTGGGATGGTAGATTGTTAAAGGCRCTCACAGAGTCCCTGTCTGGGAGGAGCCTTTGGCCTGTGGGAACTGATGAACAAGGTAACTCATCTTTTCTGCAGGCAGCCCTTATCTAATGACTGGTAAATGTAAAGATGCAAAAGCCTCCTCCTGGAGCTAGGTAGGAGAACTCCAAAGAGTCATTCCAGTTCAGCGCTCCCAGTAAGAATGCCTGAAAATGTGACAAATGCTTCACATTTATAAATAACTTCCACAACTTTCTCTGCCTATTCCTGTATCTCTTGTTCCTTTGCAGGTGAGATTCTCCAAAGCACTCCTCCAAATCCTCTTCTTGCAAAACATAGCTTTAGAGTCTGTTTCCTGGGAAACCCATCCTAAAACAGTTGGTGTGGAAGTACATTATATGTTGAGGCTGGACAGCCTTGCAGCCAGCTGTCAGTGAGGATCCTGTCATTTTCTGTAGAGTACGTATTATGCAAGTGAAGTTGTTAAAATCCTCATAGTTAGTGAAAGGAAAGGGAACGGGCACGTGCTGTAGTATTTCAGGAGTGTGGAAAGCTTTGTGGGAGTAGCTGTTGYTATAAGGACTATGAAATCAAATGGCTCTTGCTGGGTCTTATTGAGTCACTGGCAAAAACAAAAGAAGGTTGAAGTGATTAATTGCCAATTTAAAGAGAGTCGTGAAAGTCAGAAGGTTTACTTTGTCTAAATATTTACTTTTTAGTTGTAGTTGGACACAATACCTTTATTTATTTATTTTTTATGTGGAGCTGAGGATCGAACCCAGGGCCTGGCATGTGATAGACAAGCACTCTACTGCTGAGCCACAACCCCAGCCCTGAAGAAGACTTATATTTTAACACATAAAAATACCTATTTCCTGCTAACGGGTAAAAAAAAAAAAAACCTGGGTTCTAGGTTTTTATATGGATAATATTGTTTCAGGGAAAGATAAGCACTTAGCCTGAACAGGACTGCTACACCAAAGTCAGATTCTAATGGGGAAGACATGGATGCTGAGATGGTCTGGGGACATCTTGATTGATGCACTTGAAAATATCCAATCCTTAGATTTCCCTGAACCTTTGAGCTCATTTCTCCCTGTGAGAGGCTAATATTCGCCATGCTTAAAGGTGAGGCATAGCATCTGCCTCTGAAGACCACATGCCATTATGCCTGGGGATCTATCTTTGGCCACCAATCTAATAAAGAGGGTAAGGTAGCCAGGGAACTGCTGGGTTGGCTAAGGAGGGAAAAGGACTACACACGGAATGGACTGGTCAATATGAGAATGGATACTGAGAGTAATGGAGTTGGGAGTGGAACACAACGTTGAATAAGGGAGTTTATCAATATGACTAGAATTCAACAGTTTTTTGTTTTTTTGTTTTTTTTTTTTTGGTACCAAGGATAGAACCCAAGCATAGTTAACCACTGAGCCACATTCCCAGCACTTTAATTTTTTATTAAGAGACAGGGTCTCACTAAGTTACTTAGGGCCTCACTAAATTGCTGAGCAGGCTTTGAACTTGCCAAACTCCTGCTTTGGCCTTCCTAGCCACTGGGATTACAGGTGTGAGCCACCACACCTGGCTTAGAATTCAACTTCTTAACATCATATGTATAACCCTCTGTGATCCAGCTTTTGCATAGCTTGCCAACCTGAGATTTTGTCCCAATTTGTTCTTTCTAGTTCAGTTATACCAATCCACCTAGACCAAGTTCTTTTATCTCTCTRTAAAACCACTAATTACTCTCTGCCTGGAATGTTTACCCCATTCCACCTCCATTATGCCCCTGGCTTAGATTCCTATAATGTAATTCTCTTTCAAAACTCAAATTTCAGGACAGCTGGAAATTTTATCTGTCAAGAGAAATATATATATATGTATTCCGTGTACATATCTAACTAGTTAGATAGATAGATATAGTTGGGTCTTTTTTTTTTTTTTTTTCAGTACCAGGGACTGAACCCAGGGCTTGGTGCATGCTAGGCAAGCATTCTGCCACTAAGCAACATCCCCAGCCCCCCAAACAAACTATTTGTTTAAGGAACACTAGAGTAATAGATCTTAGTTTTGGTGAGTGAAATCTATATAGTTAGGTCTAATTTTTTTTGAAAAGTCCAGGACTCCTGACAAAAAGAATAAATTTAGAGTCAAAACATGATGCAGCTTGTAATTACTCCCTGAACTACAGCAACAAGATATTAACACTAATGTTTTCCTCAAAATAAACTCGGAGTTTAACACAGTGTCCTTCCAAATGACTGAGAAGGCTCGCAGGTGTTTTCCCAGCGCTCAGCCCGACTGTAAACAAACGTTATTCCAGTTGGCTCCGTGTGCATTCCACGGTAAACTACCAGAAATGAGTCGTCTGTGTTGTTTTCTGAAATATGCTATCTTGGGCAGACTTTCGTTGTGAGATTGTTTGCACACATTATTCTCAGCTGGACATTTGTGTCCAGTTGAACACTTACATAATGTACTATTTCATGTGAGAATTTTTGAGCAGCTCAACAGAGACAAGAAAGCCGACTAACTTGTTCTGCTCGGCATCACTACATCTTGACAAAAAGCAAGCGTCCTGATTAAAATGCAAAGGACATCTTGTTTGGGAACCCTGTGAATAGATACAGGGAAACCGAGGTAGGCTGGATCCTTCACTGGCGTTTGTCCAGTAATAACCAGAAGGTTCCAGTCACAATCGCCTCCCAGCATAAAAATACTCTTCCTTCAGGTTGCGTTTGTGCAGATAGGTGTGTAGGTAGGTGGGGCATTGGTTAGGTCAGGGTGACTTGGAGGGTGACACAATCACCCTGAAACATGTGTGACCCTAAGAAACACCGGCTCCGGCCGGGAATCGGGGCTGGCAGGGTGGGAGAGCGAGGGTGGGGTGGGTGCCCAGCCGGCTGTGGGCAGCGCGAGGCGGGGGCACAGCACCGTCCCAGGCGCCCTGCAGCTGCCCGTGCCCGCGCGCCTCGCCGCGTCCCGCGGGCTGGGCACCGCGGCCCCCCGAGCCGGGCCCCCTGCCGCTCCCCGCGCAGGCGCGACCCTCGAGCCCCCGCGCCCGTTGCGGCCCCGGCGCCCGTGCCCACCGGCCGGCGCGGCCCCGGCGCCCGTGCCCACCGGCCGGCGCGGCCCAGCGCGGGAAACGCGGCTAACGGCTGCAGATGGCCCCGGGGTGCCGCGGGGATGGCGTCGGGGTCCAGGGCTGGCGGGCCTGAGGACTCGGTCCGCATCATCAGCCCCGGCAGGCGAGGCGAGAAGGCTGCCTGCGCGTCGCCCGGGGCCATGGCCACCCTGAAGGACGCCGCCGCGTCCCCGGTGCGGTCGGTGGTGGCCTCGCCGCGCCCGGTGAAGGGCAAGGCCAGCCGGGAGGCGGCCCGGAGGCGGCTGCAGCTCCCGCCCGCGTCGCAGGCGGAGGCCGCGGGCCGGGCGGCCGAGGAGGAGGAGGAGGAGGAAGAGGAGGAGGAGGAGGAGCCCCTCCTGTCGGCGCCCGAGAAGGACGCGGAGGAGGCGCAGCCGCTGCCCGCCGTCTTTGCGTCCCCCATGAGGGGCATGTGGCGGGACGAGAAGGTGGCGCTGTACTGCGACCAGGTGCTGCTGGGCTGTAAGGTGAGTCGAGCGGACCGCAGAGCGCCTGCGCCTGGCAGAGGAACGCCCGCCTCCCAGAGGGCGCCGGAGGGTCCCGGGGACTGGACCCACGGCTCCAGGGACAGCCCCGGTGCGCGGGCGTCTGAGAGTCCTGGCCTACATCCCAGGCCCACCCCGATTATTTTCAGTTGACCGTAAATTAAGCTCATAAAGGTGAGGTTTACTTGACTTTCCCACCGTGTTTTGCAAAGAAAATACCTGTCAACACCAAGTAGAGCAAAAATTGTGTGTTAAATATATATGTGCGATATATATGTGATATATCATATATATATAT